TGGTGGTGGTGGGAGCCTCTCCCGTCTCCTCAGCAGGGCTAAGGATGTCTGACTGCAGCTTAGGTCTGCTCCCTGCTGGTAAGTGGACATCCCCCGAAGGCTACCAGGCTGCCGGAGGAATGTCTGACTGCCAGCTTGGGCCTGATCCCCCAGGGAGTGGGCCTAAGCCAGCAGGTGGCCATCCTCCAAGGAGTCCCAGACTGCAAGAGGGCACAGGCCAGACTGAGTGACCACCCCCCCCCCTTAGTGCACAAATTTTTGTGCACTGGGCCTCTAGTAAAAACTATAAAATTCCTAGGAGGAAACATAGTGGGGGAAACGTCATGACATTGGATTTGGCAATGATTTCTTGGATATGATTCCAAAAGCACAGGCAACAAAAGAAAAAATAGACATTTTGGACTTCAAAGTTAAAACCTTTTATACATCAAAGGACACTATCAACAGAGTAAAAAGACAACTACAAATTACATATTTAATAAGGGATTACTATCCAGAACATATAAAGAAAAAGAACTATAACAACAACAACAAAAACAAACAACCCAATTCAAAAGTACTTGAGTAGAACTTCAGTAAGGCAAATAACTTGAATAGACATTCTTCCAAAGAACGTATTGAAATGTTGATAAGCACATGAAAAGATGTTTAACATCACTAATCATTAGGGAAGTGCAAATCAAAACTGCAATGAGAGCCCAGTAGGTGTGTCTTAGTGGTTGAGCATCAACCTATGAACCAAGAGGTTATAGTGCAATTCCTGGTTAGGGCACATGCCAGGGTTGCAGGCTCGATCCCCAGTAGGGGGCAAGCATAAGGCAACTGATCGATGATTCTCTCTCATCATTGATGTTTATAATTCTCTCTTGCTTTCCCTTCCTTTCTGAAATCTACACACACACACTAGAGGCCTGGTGCACAGATTCATGCACCCATGGGGTCCCTTGGGCCTGTAGTATGCATATAAGATCTATGGTTAATCTCTTCCTGCCCTCCCCCCTCCTCGCTTCCCTCTGAGATTCATCAGTCTGTTCCATGTTTCCATGCCTGTGGTTTCTGCTCATGTGTTGAGCATCTGCCCCCTGGTGGTCAATGTGTGTCATAGCTACCAGCTGGTCGGCTGGTCACTTAGGCTTTTATGTATATACTAGAGGCCCAGTGCATGAATTCGTGCAAAGGTGGGGTCCCTCAGCCTGGCCGGGGATCAGGGCCCATCAAGGGGAGGGACTGCAGGAGATTGGCTGTCTAGGCCGATGGGGGCTGCCTGGCCAGGGGGAGGGACCATGGAAGGTTACCCGGCCATGGGAGGTTGGATGTGGGAGTGCATTGACCACCAGGGGCAGCTCCTGCACTGAGCATCTGCCCCTGGTGGTCAGTGCATGTCATAATGACTGGTCGATCTGTGATAATGGTCGCTTGGGCTTTTAGATAGATAGATAGATAGATAGATAGATACTAGTGGCCTGGTGCATGAAATTCGTGTGGGGGGGGGGGGCCGGGACCTCGGCCCAGCCTGCACACTCTCCCCATCCA